AGACAAAAACAAACCAAATCAAAGGGAAAAAACTAGAGCCTGACCGATATATCTTTTTTGCCGATATTATCGGCCGATATGAGCCTGAACATTTTTTTTCCAGAACATATAATGCAGATAAAATGCTTGAAATGGTGTAATTACTTAGTTTGTCCAACAGAGCATGCTCCATTGTTTGCTACTGGCGACCTGGATGTTTGTTTTTAAAGCTAAAGTCAATGGAAAACCATTGAAACTTTGAACGGCCATATCTCCGTAACGGCGCGGCGAATTCTCGAGCTGAAGGGATCCCCCGAATTTGGTGGAGATCTGCCGGCGCGTTCGCGAGATAGTGACACCAGTCAACACTTTCCCTTCAGTAAGGAGGTCTCTTGTTCAGGCAGCATTCACGCATTGTCTTATTCGACTGTAAGTGCCCTGCGAAGTGGACTTCACATGAAATTCTGCCATGATTCCAGTTCCAAGGGAACGTACACGTTACATTTAAAGAGCATTAAAGTGCGCGAGACGTGAATCTATATTGTATTTATTTACAGAGGTAGGGGAGAGCGGGGCACAAAGTAACACTTTTTGACTTTCTCAGTTTGTGTAAATCCACATGGGGTTCAGAATATATATATTTTTTAATCCACGGTAATTTTACACTTGTCTACTACAAATATGTCGCTTTGTTTCATAATTACAGTGTATACGTTTTTCTTTATTTACCCTCAAAAAATGGAAGTGAAATGTGACAACATGCCCCGTAGGTGGAACACATTGTAACATCTGAGGGGCACGTTGTAACATGACCATGTAACAGCTTAAAATCTTATCTGATCCAATGGAAACAATATACAAGACAAACTAAAATATTTTGTTAATAAATATATATATATATTTTTTTTGTTTTTTTGTTCAAATAAAATAATGGCTTTTTTAAGAATTACAAATAATCTGATTTTGGAGTTTGACAATGAACACATTGCAACCGTGCTTGGGACGGCCCACATAAACCAGCAAAAATGCTTTACATGTCTTGAAATAATAATTTCTAAACATTAAACATTGACTGTCAGTCTTTATTCACATGTTTATCATTGTTTCTCATTAAAATTAATTAAAGTAAATAGTGTAAATTACATCGCTAATGGCATAGACAGCACATTGTAACGCAGTGTTACAACGTGCCCCATCTGCGCAACTGGAATTTAAAACTGGTTAGTGTCTTCTGCTAGTAATCAAAGCATTAAAAAAAAAAACTATCTGAACTGATAAATAACAGATTGGAGATTAAAACAATAGCAGATTTGTCTAATTTTAAATGAATAATAAAAACTGAGATAAATTTACTTAAGACAGAATTTAAATGTTACTATGGTAAAATAAATATTCAAACCAGGTGTGTTACAACTAACACCCTGTTACTTTGTGCATTGCACTCATCACAAGTTTATTGTTAAATTGTTAAATGGCCTTACATATCTCTGTCATCATTATAAGTGTTTGATCACCACATTTGAGTGATCATTGCAAAAAATTTGTTTATGTATATATATTTTGTTTATGTATATACTGTATTCTATATATAGTACCAGTCAAATGTTTGGACACACGAATGGGAAAGTGTCCAAGCTTTGACTGGTACTGTACTATAATATACACAAAGAATATCGGCCGATATATCGGTATCGGCCTTTTTTTTACTCCCTAATATCGGTATCGGCCCCAAAAAACCCATATCGGTCGGGCTCTAGAAAAAACACCCAGAAAAAAATATATATATATAATAATAAATAAAACCCATAATTCAGATTCAATTCAACAAGTAGCAAACCATAAAATAAAATAAAAATAAAAAGAATGGTTAAATTACATGCATTAATATGTGGTTGCTTGGGATTTATGGGTTATGAATTTGTTTACTAGGCCAAAACGGAATGTGGCAAATTTGAGTGTTTAGAAAAGTAATAGCACACATCAAGTCAAGAAGCAACATGAAAAACAAAAAGCAAAGCAAAAAAAAAAAAAAGAAAACGAAACAAATCAAAGGGAAAAAACATACAGAAAATACAGCAAAACAAAACAAAAAATAAAACCCAATTCAGATGATTCAATTCAACAAGCAGCAAACCAAAAAATAAAATAAAAAACAAACAAACAAAAAAACACCCTATATCTGGGTTCAAAAACAAAAAATGCTAATGTTTCTCATGTCAACCTATAGATTATGGATGGAGACTGGGGAAATCATCAGTTGTTCAGATCAATAAAATGATTTCAAACAACAGCAGCAGGCTTGTGCATGAATCAAAATAAGAATTGGCTCCCTTTCAAGTCATGAGTTGGACGCCCCACAGGACGTTGAATTGGAATGTGAATTGAAATGACAGGAAGAAGAATATCCTGGACTGCAATTCAAAGAAATTCAACAGTCACACAACAAGAACAGATTTCTTAAGTGTTTCAAGCTTTCCATCTTGCAAACCTGCTTCACATCGTTTGGCTCCCTTTCAAAGACTCTGCAGACTTAAAGCATTCATTGAAGTAGCAAACAGATTCTACTCACAGTTGCATAATAAGATACAAATGAGTGGGGCTCTCGTAAATGTCTTCCAGTGCCACAATGTTCTCATGCTTGATCCTGAAAAGAACAGATGAAATATTTGATCAATTACAGCAAACCAGAGTCGCACATGAGTGGATTATGAAGCCTTTGTTTTGGATGGCAGAAGTTCGTTCCCGTACACCACAGCATATGTTCTGGGCTGGTATGTTGAGCTATTTTATTCATGCAGATGGTGCAAACAAAAGAAATTCCCAAATGTAACTCGCTAAACAAAGATTATATCATTCTGACCACTGCATCTCCAATCCAGCTGCAAGCTGCAGCGTTTTTACTCGCCAACATTTACCATGACAACCACGGACCTGCGCTCGGCCTCAACGTGCGGTGAATAGAAAGGTCTGCGGCGTAGGCCACATGAAGCATTTGTACGGCTTTTAAAATGCTTCCGACGCTTTTGACAGGGACAGGTAGGAGTCAGTAAAGGTAGGAGGCTGTGAGGGGCGTGTCGTAAAGGCTGAGTCATCTCTCTCGCTCTGTGGAGAAAGGCTCAAACTCCCACTAACAGCTTCCTCTGAACTTTAGTGTTTCTGTAGCTGAGGAACTTGTGTAAAGCATGTAATGGGTGTTGGGTTTGTTATTTTGGGAGCTTTTAGAATACTTACTTCCTCAGCACTGCAATCTCATTTTCTATTCCGCTCTCTTTTCCTCTTAGTGCTTTTTTTGGAATGCATTTCACGGCGTACATCTCTCCTGTGGCCTTCTCTTGGGCCAGGACCACCTCAGAAAACGCCCCACTGGAAAAAAGCATGAAAGAAAGGCTAAGTGTAAAATAGTAGTTGGCGATTTTTTTGAATACAGAGAAAGGACAGAAACAAAATAAGGTGCTTGCAAGGTAAGCAGCGTATAGTAGAGAGTAATAGTCTGAAACAATAATGAAAATTGCATAATACAATAAAGTAAAAAAATTAATTAGTAGTGCTTAGATAGCCAGAATAAAATAGAACAAAATTAAATAAAACATAAAATAAACATAAAATTAAACATACAATAAAACAAGACAGCCTAGAATAAAATAAAATAAGCAGTTGTGGGGCAGAAGCATAGTAAATAAATAAACAAACAAACTAGTGATTTAGACAGCCTACAAAGGGAAAATAAAAATAAATAAATGAAAAATGCTTTAGAAAGCCTACGAAGGGACAGAAGCATAAAATAAAAAGAAACAATTATTAAATAAAGTAAAAATAGTAGTGCTTAAGGCAGCCTCCAAAGAGGCAGAAGCATAAAACTAAATAAAATAAAAAACAGTTGTTAGACAGCATACAAAGGGACAGAACCAAAATAAAATAAAATATAATAAAATAAAATAAAAAGCAGTTGTGGGGCAGAAGCATAATAAATAAACAAACAAACAAACAAACAAATAAACAAACTAGTGATTTAGACAGACTACAAAAGGAAAAGAAAAGAAAAGAAAAAAATGCTTTAGACAGCAAGTATAAATAAAATAAAATAAAATAGCAGTGCTTCAAACAGCCTACAAAGGGGCAGAAGCATAAAACTAAAAAAAAACAAAAACAAACAGTAGACAGCCAGACAGACATTAACAAAATAAAATAAAAAAATACTGCACAATTATTTGATTTAACCTATTTATGAGCATTTCAAATACTAAGGACCCACTTCAAATGTCTGTAAAATATTTCAAATATACTTCAAATATTTGTTTAAACCAAAGCCAAACCTGTACGCATACATTCATGTCTGCTGTGATTCTGTAGGGATGTTGTATCATATGCACTATGTGTAATCAGTCAGCCACTGTGGCTTGCAGCTAAGCCTTTATTGGTCACTGAAAATCAGCTTTAATTCCTCGGCACACACACAGTCATTTACAAACACTAACATGAGCACTTGCCGCAATCCGGAAATCTTGGAACAAAAGGCCGTATTTCAGTCAAAAGGTTTCCTGAACCATTTACCAAATATAGGGCTTGGTGCTTTGCCAAAATTAAGCATTTGTCATCTGTTTCTTAAACTGTAAAATTTAACTCTCATCTGCGATTGAAACGTAAGCCCTTCAGGAGGCTAGAAATGTAGTGACTCATTGGCTGAGCACCCAGCAGGTTGAGTACTTTGTAAGCTATGTGTTCATATAAGCGTGTGAGATTGCAGTGGGTGCAGCGTTCATCTCTGCAAAGGATTAAAGTAGAAGAAAAACAACAGCATGCATTAAACATCAGATTTAACACGTATGTAATTCAGACATCTTTCACGGACAACATGAGCAGTGTTTTCCAGTGCAAACGGTGCTGGAGTGTTATGGATGGTTGCCAGGAAGTTGCTAGTTGGTTGTTAAGATGTTCAGAATGGTATGCATTGCTATGCGGTTGCTAGAGAGTTATGGGTGGTTTGCTAGGTGACTGTTTATTGGGCCAAGTCAGAACATAGTAAATATGATTGTTTAGAAAGTAATAGCACGCCTCGTCAACAAACAGATTGATAAAATTGAAGTTGCAACGACTAAAGTCTTTAAGACTCTGCCACGCCCCCCTAAAACGGATCGTTCCAACACGCCCCCACATATCTACCTCACTATGTGGAAATATTAGCATAATGCGGCCCAAATGTGCACTCAAAGAAAGAAGGCGTGGTTTCAGTAACCGCAGTTTGTGTTGAAGCAGCATGTCAGGGAGACGTATTTATTTTGAAAGCTGACGCTCGCGATTATGGTAAGGGGCGTTACATTTCCGACGAGTGCTTGCGGTGTTCGGCCAATCACAATGCACTGGGTCAGCTGGCCAATCAGAACAGACTGTGCTTGTCAAAGAAGGGACTTTGTTGAAAACGAAGCGTTTGAGAGAGGCGGGGCATAGAAGACCTACAATAATGTACAGTATTTGAAAAATAATGTGTTTTTTGAACAGTAAAGCATGTCAACATATTCTGTTACACCAAATACACAAAATAATGATCTTTAAAAAAAGCATCATATGACCCCTTTAAACAAACATGTCTGTGAGCGGTTTTCAGTTTAGTGCATCTGGAAAATCTTGTGTAAGGCGTATTAGAGAATCTGTTATGTCATCTTCAGGATGGGAAATCCTAGAGAGATAATCCAAAACATGTTCTAGATTTATGCTTGTTCTTGGTCAAATTTAGCACACATCATTGCAACAGCTTTTAACATCTACTACCAAATGGAATTCTATTTTTATATTAGACTATATTAAAAATCTAAACTACCGTTCAAAAATGTGGAGTCGAAGATTTTTTACAATTATTTTGAAATAAGTCTCTTATGCTCACCAAGGCTGCATTTATTTAATCTAAATACAGTAAAAACAGTAATATTGTGAAATATTATTGCAACTTTAAAAAACTCTTTTCTATTTTAATATATTTTAAAATGTAATTTATTCCTGTGATGCAAAGCTGAAAGATGTTTGGAAAATGCACTGAATTAAAAAAAACAAAAATTAAATTTAAAAAATAAGATACAAAATTTGAGCTCATCTGCCTTATATAGACATAAATTAAATTAATAAAATTAAATAAAATAAATATTTGAGCTCATCTGTCTTATATAGAAATAAATTAAATTAACAAAATGAAATAAAATAAAATAAAAAAAGATATTTAAGGAACGATTCATGTCTGACCTGACCATAATCGTCTGCCTTAAACACATTATCTTTAGATGTTTGGAAAAGGTACTGAATTGAAAACTTAAATTAAAATTATAAAAAATAACAAAAAATATAAAACAAAAATGATATAAAATATTTGAGCTCATCTGCCTTGTATAGATATACATTAAATTAACAAAATAAAATAAAATAAAAATATTTTAAGTATAATTTATGCCTGACCTGACCACAATCATCTGCTTTAAACACATTATCTTTAGATGTTTGGAAAAGGCACTGGATTGAAAACTTAAATTAAATTAAATTTACAACAAAACAAAACAAAATAAAAAGTAATAAAATAAAATATTTGAGGTAGCAGTGACCTGACCCTAATCCTGTGCCTTATAAACATACAGTGGGTACGGAAAGTATTCAGACCCCCTTAAATTTTTCACTCTTTGTTATATTGCAGCCATTTGCTAAAATCATTTAAGTTATTTTTTTTTCCTCATTAATGTACACACAGCACCCCATATTGACAGAAAAACACAGAATTGTTGACATTTTTGCAGATTTATTAAAAAAGAAAAACTGAAATATCACATGGTCCTAAATATTCAGACCCTTTGCTCAGTATTTAGTAGAAGCACCCTTTTGAACTAATACAGCCATGAGTCTTTTTGGCCAGCTCAAGAAACATTTAGAATATTATTATCATTGTTGAGAACAGTTATACATTATTTACGTAATATTAATATTTTAGTAATAATAATATTTTTATAGAAACTGTGATAGCCTACATTTTTTCTGCAATTATTTGATCAAAAGAAAGAACAAAAGAACAGCATTTATTTGAAATATATATTTTTTTGTAACAGTGTGAAAGTCTTTACTGTCACTGATAAAGATAAATTAAATATGAATTTCTTTCTAAAAAAAAAACCCTGGTCCAAACCTTTGAATGGTAGTGCATACAAGTTTAAAATGTAATTTATTAAATATATAAATTTGTGTTTTACAAAACCAATTTTAAGCATTTATGCATAAGCTTTTGGATCAAAAAGTTTAAAGATCATGACAAATAAAATCACTCCAGTGTGTTCAAACTTTTGGTGGTATAATTTAGGGATCTTCGTTCCTGTTCCTAAAGAGTTTTAAGCTGCATCCAAAATCAAATACTTCCCTACTATATAGCATGCAAAATAAAAAGAAATATAAAAAAAACCAACAACAACAAATGCAGTATACCAAAATTATAGTATGTCCGAATTCATAGTATTCGAATATAGAACCTACTTTTTCAATAGTCGTGAAGTAAGTTCAAACTCAAACGTAGTACCTACTAAGACGGTACGTGATTTCGGACGCACCGTTCGTTTCAGCTCCAAAACACCTGCTACAAATTTTCAATTATAGTCCTGAAGACCTCTATTGGCTTGTTAAGCTAAACTCTGCAGGAAGTGGGTCTTCTCCAGGAGCAGACTTGAAAACTTCGGATGTAATTCATGCTGTTGGTGATGACGTATGGCCATTGCATCACAATCATCTTTGAAATCAGAAGAACTCAAAATGACTGGAATAATGGGGGAAAATGACATCCTCCAAGCATTAGAATGACCTTAAAAGCTCTTCTACAATGGTGTGTGCACAACAAAATCAAAAACTATTATAATCTGGACATGCAAAGAGCGAGACTTGAGAAACAGAAAACTGTATAGTCTTTCCCCTCTTCTGCAGTCATACAAGTCAAACAGTCAGATTGAGACAATCAGCACATGTGCAAACACGACTTGTGATTCCTGCTGCTGGACCGCTGAGATGTAATACGGTATCAGAGTCTGGGACAAGGAAGCATGCAATTTGGAGTATTCTTTATGAGGTGTTAAGCTATTGTAACTGGCGGGACTAATGGAGCTTCTATACAAATAAAAACATTTACAGGTCAGGATTGATCTGTATCCACTAAAGCTGCCGGTAAATCCTTTTGTAAGAGACTTTTGGTGTGCTATTGTAAAAACGTTATGTAATACAAATTTCCATCATGTTATAATGTCTGTTTGTGACCCAAGCATCCTCATCTGACTTATACACACATTATCTTTTAGATGTTTGGAAAATGCACTGAATTAAAAAAAACAAAAATTAAATTTAAAAAATAAGATACAAAATTTGAGCTCATCTGCCTTATATAGACATAAATTAAATTAATAAAATTAAATAAAATAAATATTTGAGCTCATCTGCCTTATATAGAAATAAATTAAATTAACAAAATGAAATAAAATAAAATAAAAAAAGATATTTAAGGAACGATTCATGTCTGACCTGACCATAATCGTCTGCCTTAAACACATTATCTTTAGATGTGGAAAAGGTACTGAATTGAAAACTTAAATTAAATTAAATTTACAACAAAACAAAACAAAATAAAAAGTAATAAAATAAAATATTTGAGGTAGCAGTGACCTGACCCTAATCCTGTGCCTTATAAACATATCTTTAAAAGGCACTAAATTGGAGAAAAAAATAGAATAAAAATAAAATAATTAAATTAAATTAAGTACAAGAATGGTAAAAGACTATGATATAGCACAGATGCATTGCAATCAATTCCTGATGAACTGTTTTGAAAATTATCCATAGTTCATTTTACAATGGTGCTGAACGTGTCAGCTAAGGGACTATCACAGTTTACAGGACAAGTAAAAAAATAAATGAATAAATAAAAACCACACAAATGGTGAAAGATGAAAAACATTCTCTCTCTAAGGGACATAAAAATACCTGTCCTATTTTTGGTCCCTGTACACCATATAAATAGGCATCTCTTGGTCTATTTCAAGGAATTACTAGGGAAAACCCAGTGAACCTGTATTTCATTGCTGCTACAACAGAAGAGGAACAGTTGTTCATGACAACATAAGGCCATGTAGCCGGATGTGGGATATTAAAAGTGACAGAAGAAGGCCTGCACATTAAAACCCGCTATGCCAAGTAGGTTAAGTATGGATTTAAAATGCATACATATTATGCATTGATACAGACCACATTGCCCACATCAAAACACCCTATTATATGTCTGGTTCAATATGCAGCTATGCGGTTTATAAGAACACATAAGGGAATGCTGGGATACGCTTTCACCTTAGTAACAGTTGTTGACAGTTTTACAGTTCATTTAGCCATTACTAGTCTTGCGCTCAAGGTCATGAAACAAAGTGTTTATTAGAAGCAGAAAGCTGATATTGCTACAAACATCCAGCTGTCTATAATCAATTTGTTTACCGTATAAATCATGGTAACAGGGTTGACTGACAAACCCTACAAAATGTAAGATAGTGATTTTAGGATTAAATAGGATTTTGAAAAAATGATTACATGATAGTTTTATTTTTAAATTGATTGAATTGCATTTCATTTGAATAATTATATATGATGGTAACAGGGTTGACGGATATCCTGGGGACGCAAATTCAAGTCTTTTTTTTAATTTTTATTTCAACCAGTCTAATAACATCTCAATAAATAATATAAACATGCATGGAAAGTAAAGTGTTATTAGAAAAATTATTTAATGCTGATATTTAAAAAAATATACAGTTGTCAACAATTATTTACTGTATAAAATTGTGGCAGGATTGACTGACAAACCTTACAAAAGGTAAAGAACAGCAGAGGATTTTTTTTTTAAATGATGATTTCATTAGTTATATATATATATATATATATATATATGATTATAATATATATTATCTTTTTAATTATGATCGATTTCATGAGACAGATAGATTTAATTTGAGTAATTATTTATGATTGTAACAGGATTGACAGATAACCCGGGGGACGCAAATTAAGTCTTTTTTATTTATTTGACCTGTCTATTAATGTCTGAATAAATAATATATGCCTATAAGTAGAGCAGGCTAAATACAATAGTCTATACCAGCTTTTATTTTCATAGAATATTCAGTATATACATAGCCTATGCAAATGAGTGTCCTGTCGTTACACATACCGTTATATTCATGAGGGACAAAACCGCAACGTATTCTCGAGTCACTGAGCCAGAAAAATAAGCTTCAACTTTTTAAGCCATTTCTAACCCACACTGTAAAAAAAATTCCGTAAAATTTACGGTTAAAAACCAGCAGCTGTGGTTGCCGGAATTTTACCGTAAAAAATACGGTAGCAACATGTTAGGGTTTACGGTTTCAACTTAAATTTACAGTTAAATACCGTAATTTCATTAACTGATATAATGTTAATATACCAACCTACTGAAGTACTGAAATCTGTTTTGTACCTTTGTAATACACTGATAACCACCAAATGCAGGTGGTGATGAGAAAGTCACATGATGAACCAAAGCCCATCACAAGCAGCTTTTAAATAATAACATATATAGAAGGTGCACAGTGTCATTCACACAAACACTAAACACCATCATGGTAACACACATGACACTGAAATAATGCAATAAACATTCATTTAACAACATTAAATGAATATTATTAGGGGTGTAACACACAACCCTAATATACAAAACTGATAAGAAAAAACTAAGAAGAAACAGTTATTTCAACAAAAAAACAACAAATTTGAAATGTAAAGCAGGTAATTCTGGGAATGTCAATTTACGGTTATTCACTGTAAATTATACGGTATTTTTCACTTCCAAAAATGGTATACTACCGTAAAATGTATGTCCAATACAGTTTTTCACCGTATATAGTAGGGGAATTTACCGTGAACCATTTAACTGGTTTTTACTGTAGCATTTTTACAGTCTTTTACCGTTAAATTCACGGTCATTTTGTTTACAGTGCAGCAAATATGGGTTGAATGTGATGATAAAAGTTAAGTATTTCCCCTCAATATTCTCACATGTCAAACTTTGAGAACGCAAACTGGAGGACACTGACTCTCTGATATGGAGATTACAATCGCCGTCAGTCACTCACAATGTCAAAGTATCATTCATACTCACGTCCCGAGGATTTCCTTAAATTCAAATATCTTCCTGATATCATCCACTTGCTTTTTCCACGATCCATTCACAGATTCCTCGCGTCCCCCGGCCATGGTGCTTCCAGGGTGAGCGCTGCCTCCGAATAACCTTCTTAACGCGTCAATCTTTCCAGCCTTACAGGAAACACAAACGGATAAAGCCGCGACCGCGAGTATCAGTCTCTGTGACTTGTGTGACTGGCTTTAATCGTTGCCCGCATTCCGTGTCATGCCGTCCGGTTACGGTACCGCCAACAGAACGAGGACTGACCGACGCACAGCGACTAATCCAATCCCGCCTCACTGACTCACCGCGCTCGAGCTGAACCGACAGAACGTGTAACGCGCGCGCAAATGCGTGATTCCGTGTTCTCGAGGTATTGAAGTAGGGCTGCTGTATCGCACCGGTTGACAAATGATGCAACTGTTGCCCGGTAAGTAACCGGTGAGCGCGTGTGAGGGATGACACGGCTGAACAGACTGCGTCAGGAACGGTACACCTGCTGCATCAAGAGTAATACTGCATTCATCATTAGCCATACAAACTCTGCAAGTGAGGAAGACGCTTTGATAAACGGTCTGTTCAGCCAACAATAATACATATTTCAAGACACTACAGGTGAATGGGGTAATTTTTTTTTTTTTTTCCAAATAAGACATCGCCATACTTCCGTACCCACTGTACATAGCCTATGCAAATGAGTGTCCTGTCGTTACACATACCGTTATATTCATGAGGGACAAAACCGCAACGTATTCTCGAGTCACTGAGCCAGAAAAATAAGCTTTCACTTTTTAAGCCATTTATAACCCACACTGTAAAAAAAATTCCGTAAAATTTATGGTTAAAAACCAGCAGCTGTGGTTGCCGGAATTTTACCGTAAAAAATACGGTAGCAACATGTTAGGTTTTACGGTTTCAACTTAAATTTACAGTTAAATACCGTAATTTCATTAACTGATATAATGTTAATATACCAACCTACTGAAGTACTGAAATCTGTTTTGTACCTTTGTAATACACTGATAACCACCAAATGCAGGTGGTGATGAGAAAGTCACATGATGAATCAAAGCCCATCACAAGCAGCTTTTAAATAATAACATATATAGAAGGTGCACAGTGTCATTCACACAAACACTAAACACCATGGGGTAATTTTTTTTTTTTTTTCCAAATAAGACATCGCCATACTTACCTAGCTGATTTAGCACCGTACGTTAAGACAGTTGTGTTGGTTTAGCCTACAAGTTCTCTGAAACGGTATATGCTTAAATATGCAAATGATGGATTAGCTATTGAAATATACACTCATTTGCATACATTTGACGTCTGCACATTAATAAAGCTAGGTTTAAAATCCTCGTTTCATTTTGCTGACATATTAAGGCTTTTATAAAAGGGATTTTGGTTATGTTTTTATCACAACATAAATAAAAAAAAGAATGTGAATACCCATATCACCATGTTTTTAAGAATAAAAATGTTATATAAATCAGTTGAACGAAGCAGAAATTTCGGGGCTGAAAAATTCTCTCATTTTTCAAGGAAAAAGCTTTAAAGACAAATAGAAAAAGTATAACAAATGAACACTTAAGTGTAGGCCTATATTTGGGATGTTTTCTTCTTTCCTAAGAAAGAAGACGTGTTAAGGAAACAAAATAGCTCAAAATCTCATAATTGACTAGTGCATGAAAAAAAGCTTGTCTTAATTAATATTAACAGCTTAATAAAAAGCTTCTGTCTTAATTAATATGAACAGCTTAATATTCCAAAGCCAAAAACACAGTAATGCTGTTAAAATACTAAATTACCTACTTCTGCTTTTTATGAATTAACTTAAAGGTTATAATTTTTTCACGAATGTCTAAAAGAAACATTGTAATTCATTTGAATTGATTGATTAAGAATGAATATACTAAACGACAGACAAACAGGTTTAATTATTAATATTTTGCTTTGCATGATGAATATATGTTAAAGGTAAATGATCAACTTTTTTTTTCATTACTATTTATTAGATTTTTTATCTCCAGAATAAGTACTCAAGTACAAATTCAGTTACATCCACACAACACTGTGACTACTGAAAACAATTCATATAATTCAAAATGATAAATTGGATTGGATGGGTTTATCATGGGTAAACATTCACAACTTTGCGTACAAAGCTCGAGCTCGTTGTTTTTTAGTTGTTTTCAATTAATACTTTCACTTCGTAAACACGTAACAATCGATTCTTTATTGATATTTCCCACTGATTCTACATTCATCTGGAAAGAGTTGATTCCAAGCATCCCTTAATTCACATGCACACATTTAATGCACCAGTGATTTGATCGTGAGCCACTACCAGTTCACAACATGATATTCATCTCATCGCTGCAACGATAATCATTTATATTCTCTTCGTTGCCTCCATTCAGTCTTCCGCCCTCTGCACGTATATCAAATTACATTTAAAAGTGCTTCAAAAACATTTTCTACATTACTTCTATACAATAAAACATTTTTTGTGCCAAATATTACTTTGAAATATCAATTATGATATATTGATAAACTGATTTAGATGTCAGTAAGAAATATTCAGCCAACAGATGTTCCCTTGTACCTAATAAAGGGACGCATTAAACAGTCAAACCTGCAATATGCCTCTGTTTAGCACTCAGGCTACAAACAGAGCTTGGCGTTTGTTGTCAGTGTACCAGTCAGAGCTTGTTTGCTACAATAAGACGATCATTTCTTGAAGTTGATGGTTGCGTGGTTTCAGGAGAAAGACCCGGTCAGGATGGCTTCATGCTGCTGATGGTGGAGAGTACCGATGCCCACGGCAGGAGCGGGTAATACTGGTCTGCTGACTGATCTCAACTGAGGAAACAAATGACGAGATCAGCATCAATCATTTTGCAATAAATCAGTGTTAATTTGACGAATGTCATGATTTTAAGCTAAGAGGCGATCAAGGCATTAGCTAAGAGGCCCTCTATTAGCTGAAGTGGTGAACCTGACCTTGCAGGCTAACTGTTTTTCAAATCTGGGTGATACAAATGACCAGCAGCCCATGTTCTGTGGCTCCTCTTGACTCCAGATAAACTCTGTAATGGAAAAGGAAAATATATAATGTGATATAATATAATAAATACATTTGTTTCCAATAGTGTTTGCTATTTGCATGTTCACAACTAGCAACACAACACTGTAATAGGAAATAAATATACAAAACTGTTCAAAGGTTTGGGTAAAAAAAAAAAAAAAAAGTCAGTCAGATTTTTTTACAAATAATATGTATTTTTATTTATCAAAGATGCATTCAATAGATTAAAAGTGATATTAAAAGAAATTTTTAATGTTTCGAAAGATTTTGTGTTCTTTTAATTTTCTATTCATCAAGAAAAAAACGAATATACATCAGTTTGCACAATAATATTAAGGAGTTCAAGCCTGTTGTCTGTATATTAAACTGTTTTCAACATCGATAATAAGAAAATGTTTCCTGAGCACAAAATCAGCATATTTCTAAAAGAATTAGGAGCTGCTTAAAATTCAGCTTTGCCACTACACGAATAAATTACATGTTAAAATATATTCAAATAGAAAAGTTATTTTAAACGGTAAATTATCTTTTACTTCATTTTTTAAATACTTCAAATAAATACGGCCTTTGTGAGCATGAGACTTTTTTTTTTTAAATCTGACACCAAATTGAATTGAATTGAAATTTTGAATGTTATTGTGTGTGTAATAAACATAAATATCAGGTAAAACTGTATTTTTATTAATCAGATTCAACTATTTTTAAATAATTATATTTCATTAAATAACGAAAAACATCATTTTGTATTTACTTTTTCATCTGTGTAGTGTGTAGTTTATGAATATTAACATTTCCGAAGCACCTCTGCATTGGGAACACATTTACAATTCCTTACAAAGGCCCCTCACAGAGCAACTGCCACTGAACCAAAGAAACACATGCTAATTAAGACAATGAATAGACTGTTCCATGAATAAAAGATGCGTATATGAGCAACTCACCTTTGGCGTTTGTGTATTTATTTAGCTCCTGTTGCAAGGCTTCTGTGGGGAAAGGACACAGTTCCTCCACCCTGATCAGCGCTGTGTTTTTTTCTGCCTCTGGTAACGTCTCTCTATGTTTCAGCAGGGCGTAGTAATGTTTACCTGAGCAAAACAGAATCCGCTGCACACTGCAAGACGAGCAAAAGATAGTTTTTTTTTTTGGAAAGAAAATACTTTTATTCAGCAAGGATGCATTAAATGATTTAAAGTGACAGTAAAGACGTTTACATTATTACAAAAAAAAAATCCTATTTCAAATAAATGCTGTTTTATTAGCAGCACAATTGATCATAAGAAATGTTTCTCGAGCAGCAAAACAGCATATTATAATGATTTCTGAAGGATTATGTGACACTGAAAAGACTGGAGTAACGATGCTACAAATTCAGCTTTGCATCACAGGAATAAATTACATTTTAGAAAATGCTCAAATAAACAAATAGATATTTTAATTTACAATAATATTTCACAATATTACTCTATTTTTCATCAAATAAATGGTGAGCATAAGACACGTGTTTTAAAAAAGTGACTGAATGAAGATACCTTGCATGGTTTACAGAAGTATCACCAATGACAGGCTTAAAGGAAGTTCCTGGTCCCATATCAGCCAAGCTTGACACTGCCCCCTAGTGCAAAAAAGAGGTGAATATTCCTTATTAAAACAACAACAACAACAACAAAATCATATAAATTATCGTTATATCTTTAACGCACAGAAAAGCGCAGCAGAGTCTTCGGAGAGGCCACGATCAGCGGCTTCCTGAAGTTTCTAATCATTTGTCTCCGCAAAAGATGGAAGTACTGAGCTGGTAGGGTAGGATTGACCACTCCCATGTTCACCGTGTCACCGTCCACACCTTCCTCTTTACTGTCACAGAGCTGCAGGACGAAGAGAGTGCAATTATGCAATTATTATGCAGAAGATTTAGTCTGTACTTTTCCTGTAAGAGAGCATGCATTAAAGGGTTAGTTCACCCAAAAATGAAAATTAGCATGTGTTTTACTTACCCTTGAAGCATCCTAGTTATCTATCATACGCGGATCCGTTCCGGCGGAAGGAGTATGATGTATGCACAGCGCACGCGCCTCTGAGATATGCTAGTCTTGCGAGTTTGTTTAATCGGAGCAAAGGAAGCAAAGTTTCCTTACTTTAGCAAAGTAAAAACTTACTTTGCAAATCTTCGGTTTGTACTTCTAATCTCGTGACCGGCGTTTCGTTTTGTTCACTCGCCGCATTCGTCACTAATCACGCAACGCCGCGCGTCTTACGTCATCCGCCGGAACTGCTTCAGTGGATGACAGTCAGCGGAAGTGAGAGAAAAGTGTTTATTACGTTTGAAATATGGATATTTTTCTTGCAAAAACTCATGGATTCGCTACAAGGGGC